CCTATGATTGGTTCAGTGTTGCAATAACTCACTTTACTCAAAGTTTTCATTTATCTTAGAAATGTATTTTCATGACTTTTCATATATTAGGGCATATGACGAAAAGAAAATCGTCAATTACGCTAGATGGTTATTCAGGTCACTTTTGTCCATTGTTGAACATTAACGGAGGTAGTTGAGTGGAAAGATATTTTTCTTTTTCTTGTTTTAAATAATGATTTGATCCATACATCCACTCGTTCTTGTGTCTTTCAGAGCGGAAACCCCGCCGCGGGGAAGCCATGGCACTGGAAGTCCCCGAAGCCCCTCGTGGATCCTCGCATCCACGTCAACGGTAGGGCCTCAAGTTCTTTTGGGAACCGATTAACAGGGAAGTCGAGTCCGGGGACCATTTTATTCGCTGCTAATGGGACGTAGATTCTTGGGATCATTATACTCAATGTTTCTACGGAATTTCTCTTCTTTCTGCAGCCACGCCTCGCATCGTGGGTGGCGTTGAGGCCACTCCCCACTCGTGGCCCCATCAGGCGGCTCTCTTCATCGACGACATGTATTTCTGCGGCGGTTCCCTCATCTCCAACGAGTGGGTCCTCACGGCCGCTCACTGCATGGACGGGTAGGTTAGCTTGTATACCCCTAATGGTTTAACTGTTCGTGCCTCGCCACTGTAAAACAGCATTAGCTTTTCAAGTGCAGTTCATGTACTAATTGTTATCCACACCCAATGCTTTCCAGCGCCGGCTTCGTCGAGGTAGTGCTGGGCGCCCACAACATTCGCGAGAACGAAGCCAGCCAGGTCTCCATTGTCTCCACCGACTTCTTCACTCACGAGAACTGGAACTCTTGGCTCCTCACCAACGACATTGCCCTCATCAGGCTGCCCAGTCCCGTTTCAACTAACTGTAATTTCAACATTTAAAACGTATTATTAATGCATGTTATGGCCATTCTCGTCCGTCATATTGCACTTCGACCAGTTGCTTATATCACAAAGAATTTCTTTTCCCTGCGACAGCAAACATCAAGACCGTCAGACTGCCTTCCAGCGACGTGTCTGTGGGAACCACCGTCACCCCCACGGGCTGGGGCCGCCCTTCTGACTGTAAGTAACAACACTTTTCCCAACTGTGAGGATGTCAAAACAAACAAACAAACAAAAACGAGAAAGGAAAAGAGTTAAGAAAATCCAAAGTGTGTATCTGTGGTGAATATTCACCGTGTGCCTCCTTTGCCCCTAACAGCTGCCGGCGGTATCTCCGACGTCCTCCGTCAAGTGAACGTCCCCGTCATGACTAACAACGAGTGCGACTCCGTGTACGGCATCGTCGGCGACGGCGTCGTCTGCATTGACGGCACCGGCGGCAAGAGCACATGCAACGTGAGTGAATTCAGAACAATGCTGAGCCGCATGATGCCCGCCATTCCATTTGTCTCTTAATTCCTCTAACACTCGCACCGTCGACTTTCCACAGGGTGACTCTGGCGGCCCCCTCAACCTGAACGGCATGACCTACGGCATCACCTCCTTCGGCTCCTCCGCCGGCTGCGAGAAGGGCTACCCCGCCGCCTTCACCCGCGTCCACTACTACCTGGACTGGATCGAACAGAAGACCGGCGTCAAGCCCTGAGCGACCTCACCTTCGCCAGGCTCCTTCGGGACTGCTAACACGCGCGACAGTCCTTGGGTCTCCTGCAGACAATGACATCTTTCCACTCTTGGAAATAAATGAAAGAATCGGTAGTTTTGTTTTTATGTGTAAAACCTAATTATCATGTGGTGGAATGCATAAGGCCGCGATGTGTAGACAAAAATTCAAGCTTGAATTTGTGAGTTTGTGTATACACACACAGGTACATACACACACACACACACACATGCACACACACACATGTACACACACACAAACGCAGATATATATGGAAAGATATAGAGTTATAGATATACAGATTTTCACTACGGTTGTGTTGAAATATATTAAAATAGTGGTATTTAAAGAATATTTTTATTGACAAACAAAAGATAGCTATGCTAGTTTATTTAAAGAATTTGCAATAAGTTTACTTCAAGCTATGTAAATGTCGCTTAAATATATCACAAGTAAAAATTATTCATACGGGTGCAGCCGATTTAGAGGGTGGCTCCGTCTGAGGGGGCCCTGCCAGTAAGGTATAGCGAATAGGTTGCATAGTAGTAGGGTAGTATGGTATAGTATAATAATATGGTCATGTACGAGAGTACTGCTGAGAAAGTGTCTCCTGTTTGCATTATTGTAACGTATACACAAAAGTAACTTGATCGTAAATAGGTACGATCTTGTACTCGTAGATCACACATCAGTCCTATATCAATCAAAATACTTAGAATCGATTCAGATACAAATCCCAGATCTTAGTAACAATGGCTTTAATCAACTGCAATCTCAGTTCTTAACAAATGGCTTTAATCAACTGCAATCTCAGTTCTTCTTAGCGAATGGCTTTAATCAATTAAAATCTCAAATATCAGTAACACCAATCTTTAATCAAATATAGATCTCAATTCTTCACAACGCCTACACATGGCCTTTCAAATAATAAAAAAAGATTTGGAGGCCTAGTCTGCTCATGCAGTGATGCCAGTCTTCTGTTCGATCCAGTCCAGGTAATCAAAGACGCGGGTGAAGGCGTTGGGGTAGCCAGCCTCACATCCGGCGGAGGAACCGAAAGAGGAGATGCCGTAGGTCACGCCGTCCAGGTTGAGTGGGCCGCCGGAGTCACCCTTAAAGTATACCCATTAGATTTCCTCTATCATGGCACGTTACGTCCCCTTTAGAAATATGCTCATTAAATTTACTCTAATGTGGCATTATGTGTCTATTATACGTCTTGCCAGCAATGACATTTTGGATTATACTCACGGTGCAAGTGCCCTTCCCGCCATCAGTACAGATAACCCCGACCACTCCATACACGGCGTCGCACTCGTCCTTGGACAGGGTAGGAACGTCTCCTTGATGGAGGACGTCGGGGGAGATACCACCCGCGTCTGCCGAGTACAATGACACGAAAAGATTTCATTATATCTCATATATATGGTTTTGTGTAAACCACAGGTAACAAAGATGATAAGAGAGCACGCGCGTCCACGCGAGTTCTCAGGTCAGTTGCCCTTAATTGAGTTTATTCAATGTTTTGTTCGTTTAAACTTTGATATATAACATAAACAACGATATTTTCACGTTAAGGTCTTATGCTTTTAATACGGTAACGTGGAAAATATCGACGTTAGCGTTATAGATGAAATCTTATAATAACAAAACATATAATAAACCCATGTTTTGTGCAATCGGTCTGAGAACATCTTTGGACGCGCATCACCGCTTCCCCAAAGACAGTCGCGAACCTGCATAGCGCTAGCAGGGGGATCGTGAAGCTTTGAGGGAAAATATCGTAGGTAAATGTGCTAGGCCGCCCGTCGTTGCATATACTGATTATACACTGTGGTCATATCTTCAAGGAATGTTGTATTACACTTTGATTAATAAAGCTTATACAGATTTTTAAAAATATTCCTTCTCTCTCTCTTTCTCTCTCTCTCTCTCTCTCTCTCTCTCTCTCTCTCTCTCTCTCTCTCTCTTCCTCTCTCTCTCTCTCTCACTCACTCTCTCTCTCTCTCTCTCCCAGACTATATATGGCGTATGGGAGGAGGTGGGAAGTCACGGCTGCGTCGGAAGTTTGATAATAGGATCGCGAGCGTAAAATGGCTGGAAACCAATATGATAAACTGAAGGAGAACGAGAGAGAGAGAGAGAGAGAGAGAAACCGAGAGACAGGCAGATAGACAGACAGGCATACAAACAGAGACAGAAAGGCAGACAGAGACAGACAGACAGAGAGTACGCAAGGGAGTGCGTGAGATAGACTCACCGCCACACCCGTCGCCCCAGCCTGTGGGCGTAACTACAGTGCCGGCAGACACGTCGACCGATGGCAGTCTGACTGCCTGGATGTTTTCTAGCAAAGGGAACGAAATAGGAATGTTAGCTGAGGCTCCTGTAATAAAAAAATATATATAGACATATATATATAACTTTATCTTCAGGTTCTACGAAGGACATGTTTTCTCTCTTTTTTTTAGCTTTGTGATATGATAATTACCATTAAATTCGACCGCGCTAGGCAGCCTGATGAGGGCAATGTCGCTGGTGAGGAGCCAAGAGTTCCAGTTCTCGTGAGTGAAGAAGTCGGTGGAGATAATGGAGACCTGGCTGGCTTCGTTCTCGACTATGTTGTGGGCGCCCAGCACTACCTCGACGAAGCTGGCACTGAAAGAGATAAAGAGACACGTTTCAGCAAATTTGATTTTTTACGTTATTTTTTCACTCTCTACATTGATGGAAAGTGATCTAAATTATTCCCAGGGTCGGTGTTTATATTTGTATACATAGAATTATGCTACAACAGTTGTCACGTTAGAGTTATACAAGGTAACTGACCCGTCCATGCAGTGAGCGGCCGTGATGACCCACTCGCTGGAGATGAGGGAACCGCCGCAGAAGTACATGTCGTCGATGAAGAGAGCCGCCTGATGGGGCCACGAGTGAGGAATGGCCTCGGTACAGGTCGCAGCGTAGGACGTGACTGGGGCATAAAACAAAATATTATTGTTGCTCGTACATACATCAAGTTTTCCTGGCTTATCTGAATCTAGGTCGTGCCTGAAATTTACAAATCAACGCCAAAGTTGTTCTATTAGTAAATTTTACTGTTCTTTAAAGATGCACTCCCCTAGACCAAACCCTATGTCTCTCCTAAGTTTCGAAAGGAAGAAAGTGCCCTACCAGGGAAGTATCCGCGGGGACCCACCAATGGCTTTCGGGATTTCCAGTGCCATGGCTTCCCCGCCGCTGAGTTTCCGCTCTGGAAGACATAAACATCTGCTTAGAGGTAGGGGAAAGACAATAAAGAGCAAGAAATACAAAAAAAAAAAAAAAAAAAAAAAAAAAAAAAAAAAAAAAAAA